CCCCCCCCTCTTATCTGAATTGCAGGATAATTCTCTTCTTTGCAGGATTCTGTTTTTTTTTTGCTCCGTCTGCACAGCCACATCATCCATTCACAGGGATCTATGAATGGAAGTCACCGTGCCAGAGGTACTCGTAGATTTCAATGGAGCACAAGTGGGGTGATGTCACAGCAACTGTAGTCCACTGGTTACTTCTTTCAGCCCCATAATAGTAGATCCTTACCACCATACAGAACAGGGGCTAGGGTAGGAGTCTGCAGGAGCCTGTATCTCGCACTTGCGATTCACTGAGTGCAGTTGCAATGCTCTGCAGGCTCCAATACAAAATTAATAAACGCATGTGTGTGCATATTTTTTACATATACAAATGGTGGACTGTGCGGTTTGCTAATATTTTCCTGCTGATGTTTTTATATTTATTTTAGAACCATTCATATCTAATGAAGATCTCTGGGCAAAACTTTTATTAACACTGCGCTCCAAGGGCAAACTGTTCATTTTCGACTGGGTGCTGAAATAAGAAAAACGTTTTACTCATCTGAACCTCAGAGCCGGCTTGCTCTTAAACTGGTCCTTCCAGCCTCTCTGCCCCTTCGCTGCAGCGGTCTAAGGATCCTCGAGTCATCAGGTCCAATACACTGTTTAAAGACGTGAGGGCACCGAGAGACATACTATCTCTGCTGCTGCGGAGGAGGAGACAGGCCGGAGGGAGCACTGTGACAGCCGGCCATCTCTGAGGATTGGGTAAGTATATATACAATTTTTTAGCATCTAGATGAATATGAACAGTTAACCCTTGCAGTGCAGGGGTAGCCCCACTGAAAGGGCTAATAAACGTTTTCCCCAGAGTTCTTCTTTTTCTCATGTTTTATTCCTTAATATTTTTTTCTGTCACATAAAGTGCATATTAAAAAAGAATAAAGAAAAGGAAACCTACCAGGATCCTATTTTTTTGGTGTCATTTTCAACAGGACAAAATTATAGAATAAAATGTATGATTTTTATTTGCTCCAGTAACAATTATAATATCGGCCAATCAAGGCTGGCCTAGGCTAATCTTACCCATTTGCTTATAAAAAAAACCAAAACAAAAAAAAAAAACCTTGTTGCTTACGAAAATCAATAGCTTGGGTTTAAATTACATACTTCAGCGAAATGAATAATTCATAATGTTCTCTCTTTAAAATAATCCATAACACTGTCATGGGTACACCCCATTTTAAAAATAATTTAATGAAACTTTCCTTTGATTTAAAAATAAATAAATATGGAGCAAAATAGGAGCAAGCATTTAATAAAACTCCAGTAAAGAATATAAATAAGCAGAGGAACATTTTTTTAAAGGCAGAACATTTTAGACAAATTTGAAAGATAAGGGATGAAATTACACAGCATTCAGGGGTAAAAAAAAAATCTAGATAACTGCAGACTGGAGTTATGCATTAAGATGTTGTTTCAAGCTGCTTTTGCATCAGACCTGTAATTTTTTTTTAATGCATTTACAGTTGCAATAAGATTACATAGGTAAACAAGGAACAGCAAAATAAAACTTAAACAACAACTTACCACTTTCCATCTTTCCTTAACCAGGACTCCTACACTGAGGATATCCGGCTGCTCCCCTCCCCCGCTCATTGCCCTTGGTGCTGGAGCTGCTAAGCAGAACTCTCGTCACCGGAGATCAGAGGTGACTTCCATTTACCCAGAGTCTGTGGAGAGAAGGGCACATTACATTAGTGATGCAGGGGCTGCAGTGATGTACAGAACATTAGGATTCCAACCACGAGACCCTAAACGATGAGATGAGCAGACAATACAGAGAAGACACAAGACACAAGAGATGAAAACACGTTCATGTTATGACCCCTTCAGACGTCTCTTAGCAGTAATTCCAGCTAGAATGTTATTTCCTAGTTTTGGATAGAGTAGGGAAGGATTCGAACCTGGGCAGATTCACTCTGTTTGTCTAGGTGTCCAAAAGTGACGGGAAAAGCAAAAAAATCATTGTCGTCACTGTAACAATAATAGAGGGGAGATTTTACAATAGTAATAGCTATGTAAGAGGGAATTTTCCCTCACTTTGGAGGGATCTCAGTGCCAGTCATGTCTTTGGGACAGGAAGTGAAATGAAAACTTCCCCAACGTACAACAAAGCCAATGTACACTATATTGCCAAAAGTTCCACGCACATGAATAATAGCATCCCAGTCTTAGTCCGTAGGGTTCAATATTGAGTTGGCCCGCCCTTTTCCACTATAACAGCTTTCCTGTCTTTGGGACAGGAAGTGAAATGAAAACTTCCCCAACGGACAACAGAGCCGATGTACTAGGGCTGCAACAACTAATCAACATAATCGATTATAATCGATGATTGAAAAAGTTGTCAACTTTTTCAATCATCAATTAATCGGCTTCCGATTGGTTGACCCTGTTCACGGCTCCACACACGCTGCGCGCCACACCTCCTCCCCACCTCACGCCCGCTGCTGCCAGACCCGTCCGCATCCACGCTCCGCACCTCCTCACGCTAACCGCCCAAAACCACGATCGGCACAGGGACGCGGTGAGAAGAAGTAAGGAGGAGCAGGTGTGGGCGGATGACAGCCGCCGATAGACAGGCCCGATCTCAGAAACAAGTTGCTGGAAGACTGCTCAGGTAACCCTGCACTCCCACCCACACATGGTGCTCTATAATGTATTGCTGGGATTTCTATTCCTCTATAGCTGATGGTATATTGTGCTGTATATTATACAGAGCAATGTACCATCAGCTATAGGGGAATACAAATCCCAGCAATACATTGTACACTGTATGTATAATGTATTGCTGGGATTTGTTGTACTCCTATATAGCTGGTGGTATTCTGCATTGCACTGTATAGAGGACTACAAATCAAGGAATAATACATTATACAGCGCAATGCAGAATACCACCAGCTATAGAGGAGTACAATAAATCCCAGCAATAGTACATTATACAGTGGTGCAATGCCGAATACCACTAGCTATAGAGGACTATAAAACCCAGCTCTTATGATGGACTGCAATCTCAATACAAAACTAGAAGTCCCCTCACTGGAGCCATTTTTTAAAATGTATTTTATTTTTTATCCGATTAATCGAACTTAATAAATCGGCTAACTAATCGATTTTGAAAATAATCGTTAGCTGCAGCTCTACAATGTACACTATATTGCCAAAAGTATTGGCTTTCCACGCACATGAATAATAGCATCTCAGTCTTAGTCCGTAGGGTTCAATATTGAGTTGGCCCACCCATTGCAGCTATAACAGCTTCAACTCTTCTGGGAAGGCATCCACAAGGTTGACCATTCTTCCAGAAGCACATTTGGTGATTTATTTATGCATATTTATCAATTCAAAAAATTATATTTTTTGTATTTAAGATTAATTCGGATTGAGAATTATCAGATCATATGTTTTTCCAGTTGATCTCTGATGTAAAATTAAGTGGGAACCCTTCTAGATGTCCTGTATATTATTATATTTAGGGCATGGAGACACCAGCTGGAAAAGGAGGAAGTGTTTACAGTGTATATTTTGTTTGCAGTTTTACTGGCTTTTGTATATTTAGGTGACCAATCCACTCCTTCCTTTGGTTCCCCATTTTCGCTCGTTAAAAAAATAAACAATAAAACATGACATGGGTGTTAACTATTTCCTAATCTAGTCTAAAATAACTGTTACAAGAAAAAAGTTTCCATGGATTTACAATAGGCAGAATATTGCATAATAACAAGGACGAGGATGCTGGGAAGAAAGAGGGGGGCAGAGACACAGCCCCTCAGTGCTAGCTTTACACCTAGATATGGGGCTGCGCCGCAGTAATGCACACACATTAACACCATCTGCCAATGCATGATGTGTTAGGCAGCCCTTTCACAATGAATGGGTAGACAATGCACCTGAACAGCCCAGAAATCAGGCCTGTACCTTTTTTTGGCAGCGTAATGCACTTTAGTGCCAGTCACCATTGCAAATAGCGTGTGAAGTTGTGCATTCCCACAATGCAATAATGGGAACAGGGGGTATTGCAAGGCTGAGCAGCTTCAATCCTAGAGGGCTGTTGACATTACTACTGGTTGATGAAGGATGCTCCTGCAGGAGGGCAGGATGTTGGAAGTGGAATCACCAAGAGCAGGCAACTTGGACCAGTCAGAAGACAAGCAAAAACAACATCAACCGTGGCTCTCAATGTGGACACAAGTGTAATACAGGCAGTCCCCGGGTAATGAACAAGATAGGGACTGCAGGTTTGTTCTTAAGTTGAATTTGTATGCAAGTTGGAGCAGGTAGATTTTTTAATTGCAACTCCAGCCAAAACATTTTTGTTTTGGATAGCATAGGGAAGGGTTTACTCCCTGTAAAATGTGTTTTGCTGCGTGCGCCCCTGTTCAGAAGATTTCACCTCACTTTCTGTCCCTGTGACAATTGGATTTTGAAAATGTTGGTTTGTCGTGGAAACAAGGATTGGTGATAAAGTTTTAGTGGAGACACCTCTTCCCCATGATCACTTTTACAGGAGTGAATTCCCCTCCCTAGGGGTAGATTTCTTTTCACTTTGTTGTCTCCTGGACAGGAAGTGAGATTAAATCTTTCTAACGAGGATACAGACGGCAGTAAAAACCTCACAGTGACCCGGTAGAAGAGTTGGGCACCTCTTGTCTGCACGTCTAACAAGAGCCAACTTCCTGTAATGTACATACAGTACTACGAACCAGACCCCAAAAAGGTGGGCACTCCTCATAGGCACGAGCGCGGTACAATTATAACTACCCCTGCTGTACAGGAATAGTGTCCATTTGCCAGTAGGAGTCATATGTAACTCGGGGACTGCCTGTACTTATATTTAAGAATTTTCGAAACCTTATAATGGGTTATTTCACATATTATACACAACAGTTCACCATTTTTTCCCTTTCAACATTAGAATTGAAGTCTTCTTCCAAGCTGAGAAGAAGCTGACCACAACAACCATCATTGTGATTATGAAGAGGACGTCGGCTGTAGAAATTTTTTTTCCAGAGGATCAAGATATTACAGGAATTGAACTCAAGAACTGGAAAAGCATATAAATACACGTATGAATATTAGTAACGGGCCTGTTATACTCAACAAGTTGTAATTTGGCTTCCTGGGCTCTTTAGCTGTAATAGAGACAGTTCTTTATAAATAATTTTAAAAAGATGATTGAATGCAGTAATAAAACAAGATTTTTCTCTGGCTCAGAATTAGGTTAGAAAGAACACTTGACAAATAACACTGACAATGAATACCGGTTTGTGCTGGATCCAGCACTGTCATTTGTGTACTGTGGTCATGACAGTGTAGTACAGGAGGGCACTGCACAGCATTCCAGTCGAATCTTAGGTGTGTTGGTTGCTAAAGCAGCCATCAGGAAAGGAAAACACCATTATTTATCAGTTAATGGGGAGGGGACGGGACGGGACAAGTCACTCCACAATAGCTGGAGATATGTTTAAATATGCATATGTATGATCCATTTAGCAAAAACACAATGTGATCATATACAACACGTGCTATTAGAAATCCATAAGACAGGGGTAGCCAACCTCGGCACTTCAGCTATGGTGAACCTACAAATTCCATCATGCTTGTGCGAGTCATGGCTGTGGCGGTCTGTCTTGCAATGCCTCATGGGAGTGGTAGTTTCTCCACAACTGGAGTGCCGAGGTTCCTACCGCTGGCGTAGCAGCTCACCAGGTGTTTCGATCTGTCCATAGATCCATAATATCATGCCACAAAAAAAAGAAGAAGAATGCCCTACATCACCTGATGGCCAGTAGGGCAAACAGTTGTGAGGTTTTGGATCACTGATGATGGCATGTATGGGCTATCCCTTAAAGGGTATCTCTTGTCAAAACTACAAATAAATATGTATTTCCATAAGTTCTACCCCACTCCTACTAACCATATCCATCTAGAAGTTTGTAAAATTACTCATTGAAGATGCGCATAGGATGTACTTCCTCAATGCACTGACAGAATGTAACGCAGGCTGTAAATATTCACTTCCTTGTGTCTTCTGAACTACAACTTAACATCTGAACAATTGCTGGAAGCAGTGCATGATGGGACATATAGTCTTGAGAAATCAAGATTCCATCACATCAAGCAGCAGGGAAAGAGATGCAAAGCACACTGGGAATCCAGGAAGTGGGTGAAGGTGATGGGCAGACAGAAGGCAGCTCTCCCTACAGAAGAGATTTTTTCCAAGTAAGCTTTGATTGCATTATCAAAAACAACCCTAGTTTACCATTAGCATTGTAATAGGAATGCATAGCAGGATAGTATATGCTGGGACTTTACAGCTCCTTTAAGGGATTTATGGGGTTGCAAAGCTGAGAAGGGAAAAAAAATGAAATCCAGATCTTGTGGCCCAAGCTACTGTGACAAAAATAGGCTAGATATAGACAGGTCAGCTTCTCACATATGCATTGCAAGTGCAGGTCCATTGTGGTGCATTGGCAGTCCATTCAAATAACTCATTATTCTGCTGCATTAAACGTTACAGGTGCCAAGGGGCCTTTAAACTATAGAATTTCTGAGTGCATTGCCCTGTGTACAATACTGAAAACAGCAAAGTCTGCTGGGACTGCTTACATCACATCCAAGATGGGGGCAATCAGCAGCAGTCTCAGTAATTTTGGATGTGTACACAGG